TAAGGAGGGGCTCTGTCCTTGTTCCTTAAGGGCTCTGTCATATATCAACCTGGGAAACGCTGCCTCCTTTTTTGTGTTAGAGTATCATGGCAGCTCCCTAGCATGGAGAAGTCCCCAGCAGTTCTGCAGCACCCAGTGTCCCCACTTCCTGACGACAAAACCCATGGTGGCCCGACCACAGGTCCTTGGGCCACATTGCACAGCACAGGGCATGCTGATGATGCTAAACGAAATAGATTCTATTTATTGGGCTAGGCCTGTGTGTTCCTAAATCACATAGGGCCATAGAGACAGAGACTATTACACTTTTGCAAATAAGGGAACTGAATACTCACTTGCCAAGGATCACACAGCCAGGATCCTCAGGGCTGGGCTTTGAACCCACAGAGCCTGCCCTGATCCTGTGCTGTGAGCACCTTGTTCAAAGGCAGGTCTGACGCAGATGCACACCTCCCACCTCACCCCCAGGCCCTGAGGATCGTCTTACACAGCCTGGACCTCCGAGCCAACTGCTACCAGCGCTACGTGGTGCCACTGCTCAGCATCAGCGCTGATTTCTATGTACGCGTTTTTGTTCGTGTCTTCACTGGCCAGGCCAAGGTCAAGGCTTCAGCCAGGTTAGCCGGGTTAGGGAGGCACTGGGTAACAGATTGAGAGGTAACAGAGCATTCCCCTGGGGAAATGGGGTCCTAAAGGGACTAAGTCAGCCTGAAGGAGTAGTTGGGGTGTCCTGTCCTCCCACAGCAAGCAGGCGCTGGTGTTCCAGTGTGTGGGCTGTGGAGCCTTCCACCTTCAGCGCCTTGGCAAAGCGTCAGGGGCCTCTGGTGGCCGGTGAGCAATGGTTAGCCGGGAGGGAGGTGAAGGGGTGTTCCAATGGATGTCACCCTCTAAACACCTCTCTCTCTGCAGGGTCAAGTTCTCTGCAGCCTGCGGTCCCCCTGTGGCCCCCGAGTGTGAGCACTGTGGGCAGCGACACCAGGTGGGACCAGTCCGGGGTTAGTTGTGTGGGTCTCAAGGGTCTTTGTGTCTCATTTCTTGTCTATCTGGCTACTGTCTGCAGCTCGGTGGCCCCCTGTGGGTAGAGCCAATTCATGACCTGGAATTTGTGGGCCGTGTCCTAGAGGCTGTGAGCACCAACCCCTGCCGCTTCCACACTTCGGAGCGGATTAGAGGAGTCCTGAGCGTCATCACTGAGGTGGGGGCTGGGCTGAAACAGGATGGGGCACACTGTTCCCAGCTTCCTCCATCTGCCCCATGCACATTCTGTTGTTCTTCCCTCGTGGCAGGAGCTGCCGGACGTGCCTCTGTACTATACACTGGACCAGCTGAGCAGTACCATCCACTGTAGCACACCCAGCCTCCTGCAGCTGCGGTGAGGGCTGGGCTGGGCAGGAGCAGAGCCTGAGCACTGGGTGCCTGGGCAACTTGGGCCACTTTCAGGCCAAAGTCCCTTGTAAAATGGAGACCAAACATCACTCGTATCCAGGGAGTTTCATGTTCAAGTGCTTAGAACAGAACTTCAGAGGCCAAGAGCCCTGGTCAGGGAGACAGTCTGACTGTTATGATCAGTGGCATTACCCCAGCCACACAGTCACTGCTCACAACTCACAACCTCACAACTCACACCCACACATATCAGCACTGGCTTTGGGGTCTAGACTCCCCCTCACAGTCCCTCTTGGTCCCCAGGTCGGCCCTCCTCCATGCTGGCTTCCGGGTCTCACTCTCTCACGCCTGTAAGAATGCTGTGAAGACAGATGCCCCTGCCTCGGCCATCTGGGACATCATGCGTTGCTGGGTGAGGGCTGGCCTGACTAGGTAGGGGTGAAAGGGCAAGAGATGGGCAGGCTTGGCATCCCCTGGCCTCTGACCTTTGCCTCCTAGGAGAAGGAGTGCCCGGTGAAACGAGAGAGGTTGTCTGAGACCAGCCCAGCCTTCCGTATTCTCAGTGTGGAGCCCAGGTAAGAATGCAGACACCTCTGCCACAGGCATGGGTGCCCACATGTATGTAGATGACACAGATACTTCCCTACACAGACACACGCTCATTCTTCAAATGAGATCCAGAATCCGCTTTCTCCCACCACTTCTCCCCTCCTCCTCTGCCCCCACCCAGGTCTGGCCTCATCTCTGCTCACCTCTGCCCTGGTTCCCCATCTCCCACCCTTGGGCCCCACAGACTGTTCCCCCCACAGCAAACAGAGGGCGCCTGTGAGCACCTCAGATCATGTTCCCTCTCTGCTCAGAACCCTCCATGGCTTCCACCTCACTCAGTAGAAACAAAGTTCTATCTGCAAGCCCTGCCCCATCTCGGTGTCAGGTTCCTGCCCTCATTTATCCTCCCCTCCTCCCTGGTTCACTCCACACTAGCTTCCTCACTCAAACTCACCAGGCACAACCCCACTGCTGGGCCTTTGTGTGGGCTGTTCCCTCTACCAGAGTGCCCATCCCCAGGTCTCCCCCATAGCTGTTCCTACACCTTCTTCAGGTGTTCCTGACCCTGTCCTGTCCTGCACTGAACCCCTTCCCCAGTCTTCCAAGAACCTCTGCCCTGCTCTGTTCTTTTCAGAACTCTTATCGCATACTCTAACACATGATTTGCTTATTTCGTATTTGTCCTGTTGCTCATCTGTCTTGGGTACTAGAATGTCAGCTTTACCAGAGGCAGATTTCAGGCCCACCGTAGGCACTCAACAAATGTTTACTAAATGAATGAGAGACTTCTGACATGGGCAGATATATTCCCAAGTCACCAAGAGGGGAAGGCCCCACAGGTGGTTTTGTTGTGCATATCCGAGTGGTGGCTGCCTCTCAGCCCCACCTCCCCTTCCCCAGGCTGCAGGCCAACTTCACCATCAGGGATGATGCCAACCCCAGCTCCCGCCAGCGAGGACTCAAGCGCTTCCAGGTCAACCCCAAGGCCAACTGGGGCCCCCGGCCCCGTGCCCGGCCAGGGTGAGTGAGAATGGTGGTGGTGGGACTTGGCCAGGGCCTGGGGTGCAGAGTCCAGGTGGGGTCCCTGCTGCTCATCTCCCTGCACAGGGGTAAGGCAGCAGGCGAAGCTATGGAGGACAGACGTAGGTTGCTCCAGAATAAGCGAAAGGAACTGGCTGAGGACCCAGCCCAGAGGGCTGCCCGGCTTAAGACATTTTCTTGCAAGAGATTTAAGGAGGTGAGGCACACATGGGTCCCCTGTGTGGCAACAGGGCAGGGCTAAGGGGCAGGCGGGGCTGGGAGAACTGGGAATGGGCAAGTGTATGGGAGTGAGTTCCCCATCCAGAAAAGGAGCCCAGTAGAGGCTCCTGGCTCTGGGCTGGGCTTCACACCCATCATCTTCCCACCAGGGCACCTGTCAGCGAGGGCACCAGTGCTGTTACTCCCACAGACCCCTGATGCCTGAGACCACTGCTGACGCTGCCCACACTGACTGTCCACAGACCCACAACCAGAACCCCCCTGGGTCTGGGGCCATCACCGGTCCAGGTGTAGACTGAGCCAATAAAGAGATTTAACTTTGCCCTGACATTTGTCTGAGTGCAGAAGCTGCCAGTGCTCTCTGTTCATCTGTCCAGCATGTCTGGGGCCTGTTCCTCTGCCCACATGAATTAACTCTCTGGGGAGCTCTGTGCATCTAGAGGCTGTTTTGTACTGGCCTGATGAAAGTGTTGTCCGTGTTTCTGTCTGAGGTGTTGTGTCTATGCCGGGAGTGGTCTAGCCCTCTGCAGCCAGAAGCACTTTGGCACCTGGTTGCTGGCGCCTGCGGTTCTCCAGGTGGCCACGGGGTGGCAGCCTTGCGCTCGCGCCCACGGGGCCTTCTCCCACACCCCCTTCCGTTGGCGCGTGCCTGAAGATAGGCACGCGTAAGCTGGTGCCACCGAACTCTCACGTGGCCTCACGCTGCCATCTCCTGGCTGCCTGGTTTCTCTGGCCCAACTCCCCACGGGACCGTGGTGGCGGAAGTAGACCGGAACCAGGCGCCTTGTGCATCCGCTCCAGACCAGGTGCTTCCTGTCCTGTGGCCTCTGGGGCTGCTGCATCCTCCCCACAAGGGCAGGCCTTAGCAACGTTAACAGAGAGGCCTGGGGCAGAGTCTCCACCCTGCCACACGGTGGCTGTGGGACCCCACAGGCACCCTCACCTTGCTCCGTCCCAAGAGGAAAATGAACCTGATCCCAGAACTGGCCTTGTGGGCACATCAAAGTTCACTCCGTGCTTAGAACTGGACCTTTGTTTCCCTGGGAAAGTGGGATGGTTGGTGGGGTCCAGGCATCACTTGGGTCTTGGGAGGGTGGTGGTGGTGGTAATACTGGCTGACAGCTGGGGGCCCACGCCGTCACCTAGATAGATGGGGCAAAGCACGACTGACCCAGGTAAGAGGGTGCTGGGGATCAGGTACATTCTTGTCACTGCTACCTAGCTGTACCCAGGGCCCCTCCCTTCATGAGGCTCCATTTAGGTCTTGAGTTTCACCACCACCCAGGACATTCACCCAACACCTCTTTATCACCATTCACCCTGAAGTGGCCTGGCCTTGGGATGAGGGCCAGGGACCACCCAGTTGGGCCTTTGTAATACTATGATCTTGAGGACCAGGATTGTGGGGACATCCTGGGGCACCCATTGGAAGGTTCTAGAAGCCCTGGCAACATAAGCAATCTCCCTCAGCTGTAGTCCTTCTTGTCACCCTCTGAGGCCTGGAAAAGGTGTGGATAGCACAGTGGGGATCAGGACAACTACCCAGGCTGGACACCCAAGCTCAGACTCAGAACTGCCCTCTCACCAGTGCCCCACTCCGAGGTAGGGGTGGCAGAAAGGCTGGGAGGGGCTCTGTAAAAAGAGGAACCAGGCAGGGGGAGGAGAGAAGAAGGAGGGGGCCCCCAGTCACGAGCCCCAGCAGGGCCGGAAAGGGCTCTCCACCCCCATCAGCACAGACACAGCAGGGGGTATTCAAAGACACAGGCCAGACCCAAGCAGCACAGGAGGTCTCTGTATTCCTGCCTCAGTTTCCCCTGTGTATCTGGGCACCTCACTTCCAGCTGTGCACTGGGGCTGGGTCCTTGGAGGGCCAGGGTCCCTCCAGTGACTGGGAGGACGGGAGGTGAAGCCCTGAGGGGTGACGGCCAGTCCTGCCCACCAGCCTGGGGCGGGGCTAGAGGCCGATCTTGGAGATCCCCGCCTGCTGGTTTCCTCCGGGGTCAGCCAGGCTCCTTATCAGTCTCGGCCAGGCGGCCAGGACCTTATCTGCGCTGGCCCAGCATCCTCCAGCCACTGCGCCAGGGGTAAGAGGGAGGAAACCGGCCACTGGGGGCGGGGAGAGGGTGGGCTGGCTCTGAGCTGCTCACTTTTCCTCGAGGGACCCATGCTGCTGCCACCACTAAGGCCCCAAGCCCTTGGGAGCCCAGGAAGAGGTTGAAGCCCAGACAGAGTGGTCATCTGCTTGGGCCACAGAGTGGAGAGGCTGGAGGGAGCAGGGCTGGGGAGCCTGGCTTGAAGCTGGAACCACATCCTGGCCCTGACCGGCAGAGCCAGGGCACTAAGCAGGCAGCAGGACAAGTGCTGGGGTAAGAGTGGAGCAGCCTGAAGGTGGGGGAACCCTTGACCTACCTGCATTCATTCATTCGTTCCTGCCTTCTTTCATTCATTCATCTGCAGGAACCAACTAAGTAAAAGACCAAGCCAGTTTCCCCAGGACCCAGCTAGGGAAGACAGGGCAGAGGGACCAGGTGTCCCCAATGTTGCTGGGACATTCCAGGCCATGGGGTCAAGAGTGAACAAGGACATCTAAACAGGGTACAAAGGGGTGGATGCTGATGGGTGAGGTGAGTGGGGAGTCACTAGGGCCAGAAGGAGGATTGAGGCATGACTGTATGTACTGGACAGTGTCAGCAGTGGGGTCATAGGTCAGTGAGGAGGACATTTTCAGTGGGGGGATGGTCCCTGTAGCTATTATGGAAGACTTTCAGGATCTGACAGGGAGATGATGGGAAGAGCCTCAGGGTCCTAGATGAGGACACTGGATGGGCCTAGGCAGGAGGGGGTAGGTCAGTGAAGGGTCAAAATCAATCACGTAGGGATTCCAAGGACACACAGTGTCAATGAAGGATATCAGGGTCAGATCTAAGGATCTCAGGGTCCATCATGGATTCTCTGCCTTGCCCCTCCCTCCAGACCCCAGGGAAGGGGATTCTGGAAGAAAGGAATTTGCTCATGCTCTCATGGGTCACAAACAGCTCAGAGACAGCACTGCTGGGCTCATCACTGCACAGCATCTCAGGGGGCACCTCCTGCCCTTGTATCAGACCCTCTTCTCATGTTCTGGCAATTTCTGGGCCTACCCCCTCCCCACCTGCCTTTGCCTACTGAACTACATCCCCCCCCCACACACACACACACACACACTCTATCCCTTCCATTTAAGGGCTCTGCTGGGTTATGGGGGTATGTGGTGTCTGATCCCTCCACTGGCTTCCTTCCTTCCACAGGTGAGCACCCCCTCGGGGTCCATGTGCCCACCCCAGGCCCAGGCAGAGGTGGCCTCCACCATGACTGAGAAGGCTGAGATGGTGTGTGCCTCCAGCCCAGCGCCTGCCCCGCTCCCCAAGCCTGCCTCACCTGGGACCCCAAAGGCAGAGGAGGTGGGCCACGGAGGTACCTTATCCCCCAGGCTGCCCCCTGGTGTCCCAGTGATCAGCCTGGGCCACACTAGGCCCCCAGGGGCAGCCATGGCCACCACAGAGCTGAGTGCCCTTCGGCCCCCACTGCTGCAATTCTCCGCCCTGGGAAATGCCCCAACCTCTCTGGCCCTGCATTACCATCCTCACCCCTTCTTCAACAGGTCAGTGGGGGGCTGGGCCTGGGGGCAATCTGGGGCCAGGGTCCTTGCCCACAAGGCATTAGTGACCCATGAACCCTTACAGCCTCTACATTGGGCCAGCAGGACCTTTTAGCATCTTCCCTAGCAGCCGGCTGAAGCGAAGACCAAGCCACTGTGAGCTGGAGCTGGCTGAGGGTGAGTATGGGTTTGTGTCTACATGGGGTCCACATCTGTCCCATCCATACTTTTCCACAGGGGGAAGCTGTCAATGCACACAAACACAGTACAGCTCACACAGGTTCAGTACTCATGTTACACCCATGTGCAAAACCACAGTCCCATAGCCAGTCCCACACAACCAGTCACCCAATAAGCCACAAAGAGTCCTTCCTGGCAAACACAGCATGGCACAGGGGCCACAAAATGACAGCTTCACTCAAATGCACAGCCACCCAGGAAGCAGCCACATGACAACCATCATGCAAGAGACAGCCATGGGACCACAACCACACAGGAGACAGCCAGACAACCACAGCCACTTAAGACCATGGCCACACAAGAGTCAGCCACACAACCGCAGCCATGCATGACAGCCATATGGCAACGATCACACACAACCCACAGTCATTTAGACAGACCACAAGTCACACAGTCACCTAAGACATGGACAGGACTACAATCACTGGAAGAGTACCATGAGCACCCCTGGTCACACACAGGGGCACACTCAGAATGAAGACTATAGGGACAGCTCCTCAGGCTGACAGCCACAAGGAAACATTTCCCAAGGGAATCTCAGCCACTGACATAATAGTGCAGACAGTCAGAGGCACAGAGTCCCCAGTTATCTGAAGCCCGGCCTATCCTTCCTTGTCTAGATGCGAGGGTGGGGGTGGGCAGGGTTGCTGACAGGGGAGCCACACGTGGATCCTACACGTGGAACACTTTGGTGAAGAAAGCCCCAGCTTCTTGCCTGTGTGGAAGCCCCCACTAGAGTGCTGGGTGCTTGACGTGAGGGCAGGAGGGGGCACCACCTCGGTGCCAACCCCTCCCCTCCTGTCTGCAGGGCAACAGCCCCAGAAGGTGGCCCGGCGTGTGTTCACCAATAGCCGCGAGCGCTGGCGGCAGCAGAACGTGAACGGCGCCTTCGCAGAGCTCAGGAAGCTGCTGCCCACGCACCCGCCCGACCGGAAGCTGAGCAAGAATGAGGTGCTCCGCCTTGCCATGAAGTACATTGGCTTCCTGGTGCGGCTGCTGCGAGACCAGGCAGCGGCTCTGGCAGCAGGCCCCACGACGCCCGGACCCCGCAAACGGCTGGCGCACCGAGGGCCAGACGACGGCGCCCGCTGTGGGCCTTGTCACAGGGCTGAGGCGGTAGCGAGCCTGCAGCCCGAAGCCCTGGCCTGCCCCAATGGCAGCCCCGGTGGGGCAGCGCGCCCCATCAAGACGGAAAAAGTGGCTGTAAGCCCAGAGGTGCGGTGACCTCCATCGCCTCTGGGCCGAAGGGCACTGGGGACTCAGCCCTGGGCCATCGAGGAAGGGGTGGACCACGCACTGCGCTTATTCTGGAGCTCAGAGGGACTAATGAGAACGTAACCTGCGGGGGGGGGGGGGGGGGGGTCTGGAAGGGTGACTATCGCCCCCAGGGACCCTACAGACCCTCTTATCACCCACCACCCGTTGGAAGCGGCCTTCCCCACATCCTCCTCCTGGAGGCGAGGTCCAGGAACATCAACATGGCAGAGCCGTCATCGGACCCAAGTGGTGCCTCTTTTTTGTGGGCTAGGGGCTCAATGAAAGGTGGGGAGGAGCAGGAGCAGGAGCAGGGGAGGCTTCCTCTTATCGCGGCGCCCTCCCAGAAACTCAGGAATACTAGCGCCTTGATGGCGTCGGCTGCGCGTCTGGTGCTTAGAGAGGCGCAGAATCCACGTGGGGCCGCACCCCACCTAACCCGACCAGGCCCCTCACGATCGCGTTAGCAAATGCCCAGGCGCTCTTGCTTTTATTTTTCTTTATTTCTTTATTTCACATACACATTAGCCATTCAATGGAGAAGCCGGAGAGAGTCAGGCAAAGATGGTATAACAGAAGCGCAGTGACGGGGGCGGGGCGGGGCGGAGAGGGGACAGACGGGCTGGCTGCCTACTTGCATTCCGCTAGGACACTGAAAACCCAGAAAACAAAACAGACAGTAAACTACCCTTGTTTCTTATGTATCTCAGTGCAGAGACGGGGGTGGAGGGCAGAGAGAGGGGGAGACCAGGCTGAAGGAGGAGGAGAGGGGGGACAGGGGACGCTAAGGGGAAGCACACCAAATCCATTAGTACTATATATAGAGATACTCGTATATACTGCGTTTCTTAGCCTAAGAAGAAACTTGTTTGACGGGACGGGCGGCCTTTGCGGTCCGCGATGCTGGTGCTGGTCGGGCGCACGGATCTCCCGGGAGGGGCCGAAGCGGGGCTGGCCCAGGCTGGCTTGCGGGGGTAGGGGGGCGCCCCGAGGGTGGGTGGGTAGGGGGAGCAGAGGCGGGGCTGGGGTGCCCCTCGGGCTCTCGATTGGGGGACAAAAGTTCTTGTGACTTTATTGCTCCTTTATTTTTTCTCGTGTGTGTGTGTGTGTGGGGGGGGTCCGTTCAACACGGTCGGGGTGGGTAAAAGTGGTGGGTCGTCTGAGCCACCCGGCCCCTCTGGGACCCAGAGCGCGGCGTCCGCTCCGCCAGCACGGGGGTGAGAACAAGGCACTAGGTCGGCCGGCCAGCGCGGGGGCGGGTGTGTAAGGCAGTCGACTGGGCTGGTTGAGGGGTGGGGTTGGCTGTGTGCGGGGCCGTGTGCGTGCGTGCGTGCGTACTTGCGCAGGCCTGGGCGAATCGACCTGACAGCTTGGCTGGTCCTGTCCTGGAGCGTCGAGCCTTTCCCGTGCTCCCCGTAGGGTGACAGTGGTGGGGGTGGGGTGGGAGGAGTGATGTTGAGTCGTGGGCGCCGCGGAAGGGCGGGGAGGAAACTACCAACTTGCTGAGCGCGCTCCTGATAATGCTGGTGAGGGTCAAGTTGGCGTCTGGCTCAAAGAAGGGCGCTCAGGACGGGGAGGAAGGGAGGGAGGGAGGGAGGGGACATTTGTTCGTTGGCATTGACCTCTGCGGGGGAGGGGCTGGGGACTCCCGCCGCGCCCCAGTGCCAGGTAGGGGATGGGGCGGGGAGAGGGCGCCGGGGCCCGGGGAGGAGGCGCCCGGGGAGACCCGCGGCCAGAGCAGCCCCGCCGCTGGGCGCACGCCGCTGTCCCGTTCCGTTAACTCAACAAAGAAGGGATATGCGTGTTCCTAACAAGTGCAGGATATTTAATTGATCATAAACTTATGTATAATAGTTTGTGGGTCTTTAAAAACGTACTTTATAATGTAAGAAGCACCAGGGTTTTATGTTGAATTATCTTATTAAAAATAATTTTCTCTCGTCCTTTTCCTTTTAGTTCTTGTGTTGATTTTTTTTCAATGTTCAGGTGTTTTCGTTTTGTTTTTTAATTCTAAAATGTGAACGTTTCCTTCAGCCCTCCCACCGAAACCGAGAACGAACGACGAAACAAATAAAAACCCCAGATCATCCTTGTCAACGCAGGAAAACGACTGAAAAAAAAAAAAAAAAACAACAAAAAACAAAACAAAAAAAAAACTGAAACGAACCAAAAAAAAAAAAAGGAAAAAACACTCAGCTTTCGTTATCCCCGCAAAGGGCGGGGCAGGCCCGGTTCTTTTAGCGTCCCCAGAGCCGCGAGGACATTACAACAAAAATAGAATTTTTCTTAACAATCTCTTAACATACAAAGATAGGAAAACTCTCTGATGCATTGCACTTGGTTCAATGAAAAAAAAAAGTTCATTTCCCCCATATATAATTTGTTTTGTTTTTTTGTTTTTTTGTTTTTTTCTCTTCTAACACGTCCCCACATTTCCTGTGGCCCTCGTCGCCTCTCGCCTGCCACTCACAGCGACACTTGGGAACGGAGCGACCCCCACCCCCCTGCCTGCCCCGGCAGCCCCGCCGGGCGCGCTCCATCCCGGCCCAGCTGGCCTGCAGCTTCCGACCTCGCCGGGGCGGGCGCCCCGCAGACCCCGGCTCCCGCCGCGCCCGCGGCCCCGATTGTCTTCGAGGGAAAGGGCACGTGCGGCCGGGCAGGGGGTCCCTTCCGCTCCCCTTCTCAGCTCTGACCCTGTTTAGCCAACCAACTGAAAAATCATTGCACTTTGACCGCGCGTCACGCCCGGCCCACCCGGCCCCCCACCCCCGCCCTACTCCCCACGACCCCCGCCCTCAGGCTCCCGCAGGATCCCCTGTCCCCTACTTCTTAGTCCCTGTCCTCCCTTGGGCTGCAAGGGCCTTTGCTCAACTTCCAACAAAAGCTACCCCTAGGGCTAGCTAGCCACCTTGTGGCTTCCAGCTGGGGAGAAGGCGTCACCCGCTGGCCCCCTCCGCCCCAGGTGAGGGCCCTCTTCCTCTCCCCAGCCGGCTTCCTCCCCTCCTCCCTTCCCTAGGCCTGATCTGCCGCAGCCTCACACTAGATTAACAATAAATAAAACCCATAACCCACCCCTACGGTGCAATGTTGGGTTGGTTGACTTTTGGAGGATCCTGACCTGTGCTTTGTGTTTTCATACAGTTAAGAAAGAGAGAGAGAGAGGCACAAGGACTTAGAAGGGTTCCAAGGAGGGGAGATGCAGGGAGGAGGGAGTAAGGCACAGAAAGACAAGCCAGAGGGGCCAAGTCACACCCTGGATTGGGGCTGGGTGTACTCCTGCTCCCCTCCCTCCCAGGGGGGCTTCTGAAGACCCTCTGAACAGGCCCCCAACCTTCCCTTGGGGGAGAAGGGGACTTCAGTTGGGGGTGGGGAGCTACTTCCTGTGGTGTGTTACCAAATTGTTCCCAAGTTGCTTAATTGGAGGAGGAGTTGCCAATTGCAACAGCAGAATACCCGAACAATGAATGCCCCACCCCAAATAAAGAGTAAGGACATTACAGTTGAAATCCGGGGAGAAGTGGCCAACAGGGGGTGGGGTGGTGGGGAAAGTGTGTGTGTGTGTGTGGGGGGGGGACAGAGAAAGCTCCAAAAACAATTTTGAAAAAAGACAACACCCAACACCCTCCAAAGGAACTGAAAGTGGGCCAGCAGGATGCCTACCTAGCACAGGTGGCAGCTTTAGGCGAGGGCAGCGGTGGCTGCCCTTCCTTCTTGCTCCGTTCCAGGTCCCCTTTCTGCTCCACTCTCCGGGCCCGGCTACAGCAGGGCTGTCTGCATGAGGGGCAGGGGCAGGGACCGATGGGGTGGCACAAGGGCACCTGCATGCGGGCTGGGGTGTGGGAGCAACCTGGGGCCCATTTCCCCTCACTTGGGCCATGGCAGAAGGGCGACCTTCCTGGCCTGCCTGTGAAGAGAGGGACAAGTGGGCCTGTCCCATGCTGGGACCAGACCTTTGAGAGCATTCTGACTTACTATACAGAGGGGTCTGGGGTCCCAGGAACTACCCCTGCAGCCCAGTGTGGGGTGGTGGAACACCCACCATTCTGGGAGCATGAAACTAGCTCCAGGGTATGTCCCCTGTCCATGGGAGTGGGAGGGCTTCAAGCCCAAGGGTGGGGCAGGGGGACTCAGAGGCCATCCTGCCTCACCCCATCCAGAACAGGTAGTGAGGGAGGGCCGGGTGGGGTCTGGAGGGGAGTACCCTCTGGATCTGCACCCCTCATCTTTACAAGCTAGTCCTCTGAGCTCCCTAGTGAAGCTCTGACCCCAGCTGAGGGTGGGGGACAGGCCCCTTCAGAACTGTGCTGGTTGATTTGTTTGGGGATTTAGTTCCTTCCCCAGAAGACCAGGATGGGATGGGGGAGGAAGGAAGTTCTGCTGCATCCTTTCTTTCTTTCTGTCCTCTGCTTGGCAGAGTCCGTTTTTTGCATGTTTCTTTCTGCTTGGCTGCTGGTGCACAGCTCCGCGGAGACTTGTTCCGAGGGCTCTCAGAAAACTGGGCTGCTTCAGGGGGCCTGCAGGGGTCCCTGGGCTGGAGGAGAGAAGGGCTGAGTGGCTGACGACGTCTAATTTTTGCTTTTCGGTGGGGCTGGGCTGGGCGGGGGGGATTTTTTTCCACGTCTCAAAATTTCTTCTCCCCCCGTTTGAGGAACCTCTTCTTTTCATTTTGTCATTTCTTTTGTCGATCTTATCAGAGGAACCAGGACTGAAGCGGGACAAAAAAGAGGCAATATTGAGAACAGCAGGGGAAGGTCCCTTCTCACTTCCACCTGGCCATGACTGCAGGTGGTGCCCGATGCCCCTAGAGGGTCCAGCTCCAGCAGAGTCAAGGACACCAACACTCCATGCAGAGGAGTCGGTCCCCCATTCTGTCGGTCCCTCCTATGGGAATCCAGCCCCCAAGAGACCCTGCCCCCCAGTGCTAGAGTCCAGCTGGCCTTCCCGTGGGCACCGGCACCGGGCACAGTGCCCAGTGGGTAGGACCCCCGTGGCTGGCGCTGGCACAAGCACAGACCTGGGATCTGGCCATGTTTCCAATTGTTTAGGTTTTTGTGTGGGTCCTGGAGGGTGGAGAGGATGCCAGGCTGGAGCTTTTGTCCTCAGAGGGGTTTGGGGACTGGGGAGGGGGTGGCGCAGCTTCTTGCTGAGTTTTCTTTCTGTCTCTTTAGACTAAAAGCAAAAATTCCCGTCTGTACACCCCAGCCAAGGTCCCACTGGCTGAAAGGCTGGTGAGAGGGGAACACC